CTTAACAACCTCAAAATTCTGACCAAAAAAAAAAAAAAGACAGAATTGGAGATCATCATGTACTCTTTGCCCCTTTATTCGACCAATACATACTAAATGCCATTACCATGGTTAAGAGTTTGACAGCACTTTTTCTCTCTAGTCTGTAGGAAAGTGATGCCATCCATGTTGCCCTACTATTTTAAGATTTCTATCACAAACTACAAAACGCAGCACTATCTATCCTCACTCAGAACACTTAATAATCTCAGACTGATTGGTATTATACCTCCTTTAAATACCAATATTGTAAGGCAGCTTTGACACTTGGTAGAGTTTGATATAATTTTTCCCCACTTAGCTAGTAGAAGAAAGGTAGAATTTACTCAGAGTTAAGTGAAGGACACAAAGTAAATAGTAATTCATAAAATAATAGGCCATTATATCACACAGAAAAAGAAATTCTACTGTGTCTCAACTCCATATTTGTGGTGCTAAAATGAAAAATGAATTGCCAGGCTTCGCCATTTATCAAAACTAATGAGCCCTTTCTTATTTTAGTAGACTTTCTAGGCACTTCTGGGGAAAATATTATGTGTGGTTAGAACAACCCATATCTGGAGGCCACTCCTCACCCTGGAATAACTTCCAACGTGAAAAAACTACAATGTACGTTTTCCCAAAGATCAGCCAAACACAAGCATCAAGCCAAAGTAGAAATTCAATTGGCAGGCAGCATAATGTCAGCAGTTTTGCTAGAATACATTTTGGAAGCATGGGTATATTCCTGAAATAGGAATAATAAATAAATTCTAGCATATATAAGTATAAACATATATATATGTTTATATATATTTAATTTTTCTTTGCCATTCTAGAGATATGAGTTAAGAAAGAGTTTCTAGATGAATTGTGACTTATTTTGGGGCCAGATTTCTGCTGTAAAATATGTGCGAAAACAGTCTTGATGGTCTACTTAGTTTTAAAAAAATTAAGTAAGAACAAATGCCAGTGTTTTTATATGTGTGTTAAGAAGTGTAATTTTTAACATTTGAGGTAGTCTTATGAACATCCTATATTTATGTAAAAATTTCACTTGTTACCGTTCACCAAGTATTGTTCTCATATAATTACCTGCATTGTGTTTATGAAAATAATCTGGGTTTTGCCCTGGCTGGTGTAGCTCAGTGGATTGAGCATGGGCTTGTGAACCAAAAGGTCACCAGTTCGATTCCCAGTCAGGGCACATACCTGGGTTGTGGGCCAGGCCCCCAGTAGGGGGCATGAGGCAACCACACATTGATGTTTCTCTCCCTGTCTTTCCCCTCTTTAAAATTAAATACATAACATCTTTTTTTAAAGGGAAAGAAAACACTTTAAAAAAATAATCTGGGTTTAATATCTCAACATGTTTCATGGACAGCACGGAGCAGTAAAAATAGTGAAATCACATTGAATGACAATATTGGAAAGTGTGGCCTTCTGCCTCAAGACCTGTTTTCTAACTAAGCTATCATAGAGGAAAACTTTTATAAACATAATTACAATATTGCTGTTTTCCCTTGCATGATGGTGTAGCATCCACCAACGCAAGCAACAAATGGTCGGAAACTTTCAGGAGTTTAAGATGGAACTTTATTGGCCAAAGCTTTACCTGCGCAGGGGTGAACTCTTGAGGTGTCCGGAGACACGGTGCCCAGAGGGCTGCAAATGAGAGTTGCACCTGGTGCTTACAGCCTAGGGTTTTTATTGAGGTGAGCAAGCAAGCAAACACAGAAGCAGACGTGGCCGTTAGTGATTGGCTATCTCGAGGGAACACACATGGCTATGCTTTCTGCTTGCAGCAGTGGAAGACTTTCTGCAAAGACAAGGTCATGCACAGGTGGTTATCTTGTTTGTTCAGCACTCTTTGTATTTTCTATCTTCCTTGCTGGGTCTGGAGCCTGCCTCGGGTTCCTTGTTCCTCTTGGCTACTTTTATCTAATTCCGGGCCTAACAATGGCTTCTTTACTTCATTTTTTTTTTATTGAATCATTTCTGCTCAACCAATCAATTACTGCCACCAGCGCATATGCCTCTCCCAGGCGGGGACTTTGTCTTACCATTGCCATGGAACACCCAGCATATATCACAATGCCTAATACAGAGAAGTCACTCAATAGGTGGGGGAAGACAAAACGAGTGAAAGAATGATTGAACAAACTAAGGGTCACAGTCTCATCTCCATCAATGATTTCCTGTGTGTGAAAATTACTTAACCTTTTTAGGCTTCAGTTCCTTCTTCTGCTAAACAAATATAAATCCTAGCTTGATTACCAACAGGAATAACTGTAAAATGATAGCTTGCTAGTGATTTGAAAATAAAACATTGAAAAATGGATACAAAAATGGATACAGTCATGGCAATATACATTAAATAAATAATTTCCTTTGCAAGATGTGGAATATTGAGACTTCAGGGACTTCTGGCCAAGATGGAGGCATAGGTAGATACACTTTGCTTCTTTGTACAACCAAAAGAACAACAAATTTAAAAACAAAAAATAAAACTGCCAGAAAATCAAATCGTATGCAAGTCTGACAACTGAGGAGTCAAAGAAGAAGCATTCATCCAGACCAATAGAAGGGGCAGAGATGGGCAGCCAGGGCAGAGAAGACAGGCAGCAAGGCAGTAGCTGCAGGACTCAGTGGTCCCACATTTGTGTGTGGATAAACCGGGAGGAACAACTAGGGAGCGAAGCAGGCCACGTAACCCAGGGTTCCAGCACAGGGAAATAAAGCCTCAAATCTTCTGACAGAAAAATACCTGTGGGGGTTCTGACAGCAGGAGAAACTCTGAGCCTCACAGGAGAGTTTGTTGCAGAGACCCACATGGTCCTAGAATGTACACAAAACCACTCACCTGGGAATCAGCACCAGAAAGGCCCAATTTGCTTGTGGGTAGTGGGGGAAGTCACTGAAAACTGGCAGAGGAGCAAGTGCCATTGTTCCCTCTCGGATCCCTCCCTTACATACAGCGTCACAGAGCAGCCACGTGGGTTGCCCCACCCGGGCGAATACCTAAGACTCTGACCCTTACAATGTAACAGGCATGCTGAGAAAAAAATATGGCCCAAATGAAAGAACAGATCAAAGCTTCAGAAAAAATACAGCTAAGCAATGAAGAGATAGCTGACCTATCAGAGGCACAGTTCAAAACACTGGTAATCAGGATGCTCACAGATATGATTGAGTATGATCACAACATAGAGGGCGAAGTGAAGGGAAGTGAAGGCTACGAGAAGTGAAATAAAGGAAAATGCACAGGGAACCAACAGTGACAGGAAGGAAATCAGGACTCAAATCAATGGCTTCGACCAGAAAGAAAAAAGAAACATTCAACCAGAACAAATGGAAGAAACAAGAATTCAAATAAATGAGGAGAGGCTTAGGAACCTCCAGGACAACTTTAAACATTCCAACATCTGCATCATAGGGGTGCCAGGAGGAAAAGAGAAAGACCAAGAAATTGTAAACTTATTTGAACAAATAATGAAAGAGAACTTTTTCAATCTGGCAAGGGAAATAGACTTCCAGGAAGTCCAGGAAGCTCAGTCCCAAAGAAGTTGGACCCAAGGAAGCACACACAAAGGCACATCATAATTACATCACTCAAGATTAAAGATAAGAAAAAATACGAAAGAGGAAAAGAAAAAAATGAAAAAAAAGAGAGAAAAAAAGATTAAAGATAAGGAGAGAATCTTAAAAGCAGCAAGAGAAAAGGAGACAGTTACCTACAAAGGAGTCCCCATAAGACCATCAGCTGATTTCTCCAAAGAAAACTTACAGGCAAGAAGGGGCTGAAAGGCAAGGACCTACATAGATGATTGCTCTATCCAGCAAAGCTATCCTTTAGAATGGAAGGGCAGATAAAGCACTTCTCAGATGAAGTAAATTTAAAAGAGTTCATCATCACCAAGCCCTTATTATATGAAATGTTAAAGGGGCTTATCTAAGAAAAAGGAGATAAAAATATGAACAGTAAAATGACAACAAAATCACAACTATCAACAACTGAACCTAAAAAAAAAAAAAAAAAAAACTAAGCAAACAACTAGAACAGGAACAGAATCACAAAAATAGAGATCACTTGGAGGCTTATCCACGGGGAGGGGGTGAGATGAGAATGTGGGAAAAGGAACAGGTAATAAGAAGCGTAAATGGTAGGTACAAAATAGACAGGGGGAGGTGGAAAAGTATGGGAGATGGAGAAGGCAAAGAACTTATATGTATGACACATGGACATGAACTAAGGTGGGGGAATGATGGTGGGAGGGGGATTTAGGATGGAGGGGTACAAAGGGATTAAAAATGGGAGAATTGCAATAGCATGATCAATAAAATATATTTTTAAAAAGATGTAGAATATTGGAAATGCTCATATGTGATACTGGCTACAAGTGTAAAATAGAGGTCAGGCAAAATAATACTCATTGTGTGAAGTGTATTGGCTAATAAAGTGTTATTATCTCATTTTATTATTGTTATTAGTATTATGGAAAACACTTAGAGCTACCAAGTGAAAAGGTGTTACTGACCATAAAAGTCACAACTCAGTACTCTGTCTTAGGATTTTTTCCATAATTCTGTCCTCCCACTGGTTTATTTCTTTGCTTGTATCAGAAACTTCTTGATGCTTGGAGAGTTTTATGTATAATTTTGGTTTATTAAGTTCAAATCATCAAAATTATGCTCAGTACTTTATTGATAATAGATTATAGATAGATAGATAAATAGATAGATAGATATGCTTATTGAGCATGGTCACATTCAAAGCATTATTGGACTTTAAACAGATTACCAGCCTGAAAGGGTCTTCTGAATCATCCTTATCAACCTTTTAATTGGGGCAGGTAAGTACGATAAACATGTAGGAGAAAGAAGGAAGGTTTTGGGTCAGTGTGGTTCCAAAGGAAGGAGTCTGACATATTTTAAAGCACTGTTTAAGTTACACGTGTTAATTTTGTTCTTCTTCCCTGCAGGTTTAAATGTTTATTTGGCTCCTTGGCTACTGATTACAGAACACAAAATGAATAACTCGACAAACTCTTCTAACAGTGGCCTGGCTCTGACCAGTCCATATAAGACATTTGAAGTGGTGTTTATTGTCCTTGTGGCTGGATCCCTCAGCCTGGTGACCATTATCGGGAACATCTTGGTCATGGTCTCCATCAAAGTCAACCGCCACCTGCAGACCGTCAACAATTACTTCTTGTTCAGCTTGGCCTGTGCCGACCTCATCATTGGTGTTTTCTCCATGAACTTGTATACCCTCTACACTGTGATTGGTTACTGGCCTTTGGGACCTGTGGTGTGTGACCTTTGGCTCGCCCTGGACTACGTGGTCAGCAATGCCTCAGTGATGAATCTGCTCATTATCAGCTTTGACAGGTACTTCTGTGTCACAAAACCGCTCACCTACCCTGTCAAGCGGACCACGAAAATGGCAGGTATGATGATTGCAGCAGCCTGGGTCCTCTCCTTTATCCTCTGGGCTCCGGCCATTCTCTTCTGGCAGTTCATTGTAGGTGTGAGAACAGTGGAGGACGGGGAATGCTACATTCAGTTTTTTTCCAATGCTGCCGTCACCTTTGGCACTGCCATTGCAGCCTTCTACTTGCCAGTGATCATCATGACTGTCTTATACTGGCACATTTCCCGAGCCAGCAAGAGCAGGATCAAGAAGGACAAGAAGGAGCCTGTGGCCAACCAAGACCCAGTGTCTCCAAGTCTGGTCCAAGGGCGGATAGTAAAACCGAACAACAACAACACGCCCGGCAGCAATGATGGCCTGGGACACAACAAGATCCAGAATGGCAAGGCCCTCAGAGATGCTGGGACTGAGAACTGTGTGCAGGGGGAGGAGAAAGAAAGCTCCAACGACTCCACCTCCGTCAGTGCTGTGGCCTCTAACATGAGAGATGACGAAATAACCCAGGATGAAAACACGGTCTCCACTTCCCTGGGCCATTCCAAAGAGGAGAACTCGAAGCAAACATGCATCAAAATTGTCACCAAGACCCCAAAAGGGGACTCAGGTACCCCAAGCAACACCACTGTGGAGCTAGTTGGTCCTTCAGGTCAGAATGGAGATGAGAAACAGAACATTGTCGCTCGCAAGATTGTGAAGATGACCAAGCAGCCTGCAAAGAAGAAGCCTCCTCCCTCCCGGGAAAAGAAAGTGACCAGGACAATCTTGGCTATTCTGTTGGCTTTCATCATCACGTGGGCCCCATACAACGTCATGGTGCTTATTAACACCTTCTGTGCACCCTGCATCCCCAACACAGTGTGGACCATTGGCTACTGGCTTTGTTACATCAACAGCACCATCAACCCTGCCTGCTATGCACTTTGCAATGCCACCTTCAAGAAGACCTTTAAGCACCTTCTCATGTGTCATTACAAGAATATCGGCGCAACAAGGTAAAACTTCTTCGGGGTGAAGGAAAGTGGTCAAGGGGAAAGTGGGAAAAAGAAAAGGGGTAAAAGAGCTCATTGCAAAATCTCTGCCACTGCACTTTATAGTCTTATCATGGACGTGCAATTAAGAAGCCCAACAGCGACACTCATATCGTGCCTATGCTCGTCTGAGAAACTGGCACCTTAGAAACCCTGTCAGTGCAGGAGCAGGCGACCGTGAAGGCGACACGTTGGAATTGTGGACTTAAGGAGTGATCTGCATTTTCTCAGTCTCTTGAGAAGGGCTTCTGAATCTACAATTTTATCAGTCTCTGCACAAGAAGAATAACCTCGCTCCTTTTTGTTATTGTTCCGTGTTTACGTGTGGATGGAAGGCCATGGTCAGAAGCTCACACGGAACCTTAAAAAAATAGACACATACTACAATGGGGAAGGAAAAAAGAAAACGGGTGTAGGAACAATCTCGAGTGCTAAGCATATATTATTTTTCTGTTATGGTTTTACTTGGAGGATTGCAATGTAATAAATGCTTATTTTTTTACCTTACCCTTTTCCCCCTTCAAAAGCAAGCAAAGAAACAAAAACCCAACTAGATCACATTATTTTTCTCGTTATGGGATTTGCTTTTATATTGTTCTACACTGTGTAAGGACAGATTATAGAGGACTTTCACTAAATCCAACCAGAGACAGCCAAGAAAAGGGGCATTTCACCCCTGTCTATTGTGTGCTTTGCATTCTTTGAGGGTATACAAGCTTATAAAGATGTAGTTTACTTATGATCCTTAATGGGAAATGGTTTCCCCAATGTGGTTTTCTCCCAAACTACCCTCTTATTTTAATAGACTAATAGACTAACCTCCCTAATACATAAACATACTTGAGAAGCCAAAGCGATTTTATTAAATTGAGGTTTCATCAAGTTCAATAATGGTCATTCCACTTGGAGAAAATTAACGGAGGCCAGAAGAATTTTGAGCTAAGAAAATGAAAGGTCGAAAGGGCATTCTGCTTCAACATGAATCTGCCTGACCCACTTATGAAATGCTAACTTGTAAAACATGAACTCCTGGCCTTTGTCAGCAGAAAAAAGATGTTGTTGGTTTTTTCATTTGGAATTCTGAATAGGATTAACATACTCATCTGGCCCCAGGGACTTCTGGGTCAGTGTCAAGAGATTAAGACTTTCTTCTCAATGCCTTCTGAAAGCCAATCTTCAATTCATAGTCACGTGAGGTTGTTTGTAACCATCCTGTGACCCAATAAAGGGGAAAAAAGTAATTCAAAAACATTTACTGAAACCACATGTTCCATATTCCTCAAATTGTCAATTCTCCCTAAAATTTTTTAACTGCAAAATTCTATCAGGAGAAGCATAGTAACCCTTGCCACAGACATGCAGGAGATAACTTCAGTAGAGGCCAGAGGAGCCCAGAAGAATCTGAGACAAGAATGTAGGTAGTTGCACCCACAGCACTTCTCACATTTCTCTAATTCTAGACTATAACAAGGTCGTGTCAGGAGCTAATACCTAAATAGTGGCTTTAAAGAACCTTATTCATGTAGAGACTTTTTATTTTGTACCCCAAAGAAACGTTTAATTCTGTTGTTCACCTTTAACTAGCTATGTTTATTCCTCTCTCGTTTCACAATGGTCGCTGTCATCTTCCAGTGAGATTCTCCAAAAGATGACCCCATCAACAGAAATAGAAGTTCTAAGAGCCTTTTCAAATTTCATGTTTTGCCTTAGGAACTTTATCTTGACCAGTAATGCCTATGTGAGGTGGATGATGAATTTGTCAGTGTTAGACCTTAGCACTTTAATTAGTTATTTTGGGTGACTTGCCTCATTGGTGGCAGGCCAGCAATTCTGAGAGTTCAACAAAAGCACAACGGAAACAGTCGGGAAGCAGTAAATTGCCAACAGTATTTGTACTTGACTTACCCTTTAGAACAATAACTTTCTTCCTGAATAACTTCAGTCATTTCCCCCCCAAAATCTTACTTATACAAACAGCCTCCCTCCAGACAGATTCTGTTACATGACAATTACATCAGTGTAAACTTTTACATTTTAAACTCATGTCTATTTTTTTTTCCTTCAAATCAATGAATAAATTGAGTTGTAGGAACCTGAAAGTAATGGAGTGTTGGGTTCCCTATATACAAAACAATTGATTGGCTGAATACTTCACTTACTGACTTGGACTATGATGACGTGGATTCAGCTTCAGGCAAATGAACTGAATTCAAGGCTTCAAGGATTCAAGGCTTGTGGCTTCCTGATTTGAGTCTCTTCTACGTAACAATCACACTCTGAGTTAACCACACCCTCTCTTTTGCTCCTTTTGTGTCTGCCCTTTGGCACAGCAACCACACCAGTATTGAAAGAGAAACCATCAGGATTAAAGAAAGGAACTGAAGATAGCCTGACACTTTGTGGAAGCTTTATCAACCCAAGTCAAACAATGGAAAACTACTGAAAATGGTCGATGATTAGAAAGATACGGAGACTGTAGTCCATGCTTTGCATTAACCGCTGCTGGATTTGTCTATGTCAGTGGCTCTCAACCAGGGATGATTTTGCCCCCCCCCAAGGGATGTTTAACAATATGTGGAGACATTTTTTGGTCATCATAACTGGTAGGGAGAGCTATTGGCATCTGGTGGATAGAGGCCAGAGATGCTGCTAAAAATCTTGCAATGCACAGGGTGCCCACCGTGCCCCCTGGCAAAACAAAAAAATTATTTCGCTCAAAATGTCGGTAGTGTTGAAGTCGAGAAAACCTAGTCTACTTCAAGGGATTCTAGAGCTTGCTTTGTATAAGTGAGTAAATAATCCTGTACCACTATTGGAATACCAATGCGAATTGCTCACCTGTTTGAAAAAGCTAATGCCCACCAGTCAGGTATGAGACACGCTGTGATCCATGGAGTCTGGTGTGTTTATGCTTCATAGACTGGGAACACAGGCAATGTCCACACACCCAGAATCACCAGAACAGACACACTGCATGCTGTTTCCAGCACCTTACTGTCCAATCACAATTTCCACAGAGTGTGGTCAATTGAGATTTCAGTCGCTGGCCATTAAAATGGTTGCACTGATGTGGTCAGTTTCTATAGGAGCTGACCTTTGTCCTTTCAAAACCATGAAGAGCCTCTTTCAGAAACCGTGTCATTCATCTCCTTTGTTTTACTGGAAAGGGGAATATCTATCAAGAATTTTTTCTCATAGCAATAATGTAAATATCACGGAATGGTCTTGAAGACGAGGTGATTCAAAATGTGAAAAGGCCAGGTCATTCCTTAAAAAAAAAGAAAGAAATGGTTCTCCTTTTACCAGTTCACCGTGAATTCAATGGCCAACCCCAGGTGTGAGAAAAGTACATAGTAAGTCATTTTACATTTGGCAAAATGCATAGAGTGCACAACACCATGAATGAACCCTAATGTCCACTACAGACGTTGGGTGAAAAACGATGTGTCAAAATAGATGCATCCACCAGAACAAACGTCCCACTCGGAGGTGGGGTGTTGACAGAAGGGTGCGGCCATGCTTGTGTTGGGGATCAGAGGGTATACGGCGACTCTCTGTACCATTCACTCCATTTTGCTGTGCACCTAAAACCGCTCTAAAAAATAAAGTCTTTGAAAAAGTAATAACAACAAGTAAAATCCAAGTCACAAATACATCACGTGACACAAGCTTTCCAGTCCGGATTCGGAAGCTGGAAGTCCCACCTGCTTCTCCTCTTTGTCCACTCACTGCTTTCTTGATCCTGCAGATCAGACATGGGGGGAGATGGGAGTTCAAACTGATGACAACGTTCATGTTGAGATTCGATCTACTTTTATTTTCTCCTACTTAGTTCATTGATAGTTGCCCTTTCCCCAGTTTGATAATCTCCCTTCCAACAACCACAGCACTGGTGTCACAAATAGGGGAAGTACCCAAAGCTGGATGAATTGTGAAAAGTGTATTTTCAGCATGTATATATAATACCATGCCTCCCCAATATGCTTCTCTTAAAAGGGTGCACGCCGCAGCATGAACTGTGTGCATATTTAATGTATCTTCCTGGAATATGCTGTATGCTTACTATACATACTCTATAAATAAAGTAATGAAATGTATAATAGAAATACATATTTCTGTATGCAAATAAATATATTATACACAAAATCTTCATATGCACTATGGTGTATGTTGCTTCAGAGTACGCAATGAGATTTTACGCGTCCACTTTTCAAAAAAGGAGAATTCGTTTTTGGAGGAAGAGGTGTGAGAATGACCAAAATTTTTATCCATGTTACTACTAAACTATTTTATCCTCTTTGAAAACATGGCGTTTGATTTTAAGTATCTCCTGAAAGAATATATTAATAAATCTTTGCCGACATCACCCCATGTGACAATCATGCTTTTTGCTCCTGCTTTTCTGCCTGGCCTCTGACTAGAACCTTCCCGATGTTCTGGTCCCAACAGCTGTGTTGATCTCACGTCTGATTGCCTGATGAGATTGCAACCGATTCGTTGGCATTCTGCTTGGCTTGCTTGACTCCCAATTAACTGATTTTTGTCAAATAAAAAATAATCATTCTGGAAGGAAAGAATGACCTTCAGAAGGTTTTTCATTCTGAAAACCAAAGCAAAAATTGTGCCAGCCCTGTATTTTATAAACTGCCCTTTTCAGTTTGGGTCCAATACAAGCTTCCGGCACATTAAATATCGGTGGCTTTCAGTGTCCTATGAGGTTGCAAGCTTCCCCAAGAAGTTACAAAAGAGATGGGCTGTTTTGGACCGCCCTGCATTTCCTCATAGCAACCCCGTTTCTGTCTTTGATGCTCACTCAACTGCTCAAACTCCCCAGAACATTTTCTTGAGCCCCTATTAGCCTGACTTCTTAGTGAGCAAATATCATTACAATTTGTTGATACTGGGTTTGCAATCCTGATAGGTGCTTATGTGTTAACAGAAAAATCATAAACATTGAACATTTGAAAGATTTCTATTACTCTTTAGATACCAATGCATGCAGTGGGAGAGACTTTTTTCCCAGTAAATTCTAGCTGTTTTTTTCCCCAAATTTTGTGATATATTTCAATGTTTATTCACTTCCTAAATTTCCCCTTTCATGCTACAATCCACCCTTGTGAATTGCTGTCCTTTATCTGAACCAAAATCATTTCTGGGGGGAAAAATGAAAGAAAAATGGAGTTTTCTATCAATTCTCATTAGTTTCTTATTGTTCCAGTGAGATGTTCTCATTTCATTTTTTAGAATTTGAATGGAATCTTGTGCTGACGAATTGTCAGATGCTATTTCTGACGAGGCAGTTGCAAATAATGGGACAGGAAAAAACATCTGTCCATCATAAAGGAAGAATTTCCCACTTTATACCATGTATCACTCTTTCTCAACCAAAAGTAAAAAAAAAATGGAAGGAGCAGAATGTGGCAAGTTGTGTAACGTAGGTATTTATTAAATAGGTGACATTGGGGGAAAAATCAGGTCTTTGGCTTCCTAAACACACACTCATACAATAAGTCATGAAAAACTGCAAAAACAACAAAAAAGACACCATCTTCTGTATTTGAACAGTATACCCAGTAGTTATCTGAATCCTTAAACTATATCTTTACTGGAATTGTGAACAACTTGGGAGGTTTTGTCAAATTAAAAATGACTATCCTATTTTTTTTTAGATAACTCCATACTGTTTTTTCAATGGTGGCTGCACCAGTCTGCATCCCCACCAACAATGCACCATGGTTCCCTTTTCTCCACATCCTCTCCAGCACTTGTTGTTTATTGATTTATCCATGGTAGCCATTCTGACAGATGTGAGGTGATATCTCATTGTGGCTTTAATTTGCTTTTTTCTGACAATTAGTGATGTTCAGCATCTTTTTATATGTCTATTGCCCATCTGTGTATCCTCTTTGAAGAAATGTCTATTGAAGTCTTCTGCCATTTTTAATGAGATTATTTTAATCAATTTATTTTTTGTTGTTAAATTGTATAACTTCCATATATACTTTGGATATTAACCCCTTATTGGATGTATCCTTGGCAAATGTCTTCTCCCATTCAATTCCACTGCTGTGTATAACCTTTCTATCACCTCCAGCATTTGGAGCTCAGCTAAGTGATCTTGAAAAAAAATACTCTACTGCATGACAGTGATTATATGGAGTCATGGGACGAAAATATGCCTAGACTTGAAAAATCCATCATGACACCTAGACAACACACCTACAAATACATACCTTCATTGTGAGTACTCCCAAACACTACGCAACTCTACCAGATGCTTCTTTGAATATTGGCATTACCGTCTAGAAAGCTGAGAAGAAGCAAGTGAGGATTTCTCAGCACATTCCTTTGAAACCCCTCTCAGATCCTCTTTTGAGGTTGGTAGCTCTGTATGTCTTATGGATGGTACACTAACGTAGGGGTGGTATGTCCTCTGAATGTGCAACAGATATTCAAAGGGCCCAAATGTCTGGGGTCTCAAATTAATAAACAAGAAGTTAGGCATGTTTGTCCCATTCTGCAAAACAAGTAAGATTAGCAACAATATTATATTTGTTTTTTGTTGATATTCTCACTATTTCACCTTATTAATTAAAAAAGTACAAGAGTTCATGTAAGGAGTACATTTTAAATGGCTAAATAAAACCATTTTCTCAATCTTATGGGGTATAACTTAGCCTACTTAGAAAAATATGATCTGAGCAACTTTGTATTTATGCAGAAAAATACTATAAAGAATAAAACAGGAGCAATAAAAATCTGACATCCTGGAAAGAGAAAATAACAAATAACTCATCTCTAAGCTCTTTCAAAGGAATAACAATAAATATTTAATAACACTTCTTTTTTCTAAGTTCTTTGCATTTTATTTTTGTTATGTTTATTTTTTAAATCTCTTTTTAGTATTTTTGTGAAGGTCCTTAACTAATGCTGTTTTAAAAGTAATTTTTATAAACATTTTGGGAGACAAACATGGCTATTTCATTAAAGCTTGTCATTTTCATTTTAGTTCACGCTGTTACTCTAGGAAGCCAAAAAAATAAATAAATAAAAATTAACCACTTTTTATGTCACATGGGTTTTAAATACCTAAATGAAATACCACAGCAAAATAATATGGACAAAGGACAGAATTTCAGCTTTAAGTGAGAAAAGAATTCTGTGCAATGGTAGTGTCTATATGTAATCATTTCTGAACGACACCCATCGATTTCCTCTGTGGTCACGCAGCTGTTCACGGGTCCCGGACCCGACCCTCAGTCACCCGGAGAAGAGCTCTGAGCACACTGACATGCTGTTTTAAACCAGACCCCATGGAGACAGGAGTGAGCATGATCCCCAAAGGAGAGAATGTGGTAATTCACTGCCAGGCCAGTATCACGAAGTGAAAGCCTGCCAAAGCCCTTTGTTGAACAGAGCGTGTGAGAAACTCAACATTATCACAAGATTGGGAGAACTGAAGGAAAATCAGATGATGGGAAGTTTCAGATATGGTGAAAAAGGGAACCAAAGTTTATGCTCTGTGCGCGCCTACCTATTAGGAAGCAACTACATCAGTATTGCTAGCACATGTACAGGTTAAATAGTTTATGTACCTGGCAAATGGGAATTATAAGATTACATTAGCTGTAATTCCTACCAACCTGTCGGGAGAAGGGAACCTGATATCTTTCCTGTTTTCATTGTTTTCTTTTTATTTAAGAGTAAGAAATAGAATGTTCACTGGGAAGAGACACGTAGTGTAGAGTACTACTAGTCTTTTAAAAATCCCTTATTAAAAGACCGTTACTTAAATGCATTTAAATTTCAAAACACATAGTAGTGAGATTATTTAATAAAAAGAATGCACACGCTGGAATAATGAAAAAATGTACATTCTTAAACAAGACAATTAATATCCTACAAATTGTATGAGTATACTTTTTGATAGCATCTTTAAAGATAGTCCAATTTATATGTAAACTGGGTTAGATATATATATATATATAAATGCTATAAATTACGTATATTTATCAAGTCTGTATAATTTATATGCATTTTATTTATAAAAGGAACGTGGTGGAAAATAATTCACAAATACAAGGAGTGAAGTAACGTACCAGGGGAAAATAGTCCACATACCCAAGGAGTGCTGGCTTAAGTGCTGGTGATGCCTGAGTGCAAAGGCATTCCAACTTCCAAGTTCAGCAGGGAGAAATGGTGCCAGATCCCCAAAATAGTTGGGAGATAATAGCAATTACACGCCACGACCTTGGATGTCTTTCTGCCAAGCTGTATTCCTAAATGAAGCATTCAACTAGTCAGAAAGTTCAACAATAAGATTCTTTTTGATGTGATTCACTGTGTTTAGAACACATTTGTAGACATCTTGGCAGTCAGGACTCCTGAGTCCTCGTTAAGAAAGAATTCAACTTAGCACAAGTTTCTTATATGACAAAGTACTCATTTCAATGCAAATTAGCAGGAGCTCTGGCTCTACCCTTGAAACTTCTATTTCACTTCCTTTATCCACCAGGTGAAAACTGCCCCGGAGGACCCTCTGTATATCCTCTACTCTCCATGTTTCAATATTTAAAGTATTGGGCAGAGGGATTCTGGATTTGCTCAGGTTCCTAGACGTACTTGGTGGGTGAGGTGAGTAGGGAAGTTTCCTTGCTTGTGTGTGCTTTCCCCAAATAATTGACTTTGAGATATTGAGCTGGAGTTCATTTCCTTATTCCAAACAAGAAGCAAAGCAAAACCCATGCAAACTAATACCAAATGTTCTCAAGTATACACAAGCCCAGAAATACCGTGGCGAGTGGGCTTAAAGATGGCTGGGTCCTTGCCAATGTGACCACGCCAACTCCGCTCTAGGAAAGGATTCATTCAGACGTACTCGTTCACTCAGGTTTACGGTAAACTTAGATCCTTCGAATCTCGGAGGTGATCAAAATGGCATTTGCGGACTCACCTCCTTTTTCCCTGGAAAGCTCTCCTCACCCTTTATCACCTACCTGGTTAATTCCTAACAATCCTTTAACTGTCGGGCCATTTCAGGAATGTGGCCCTGACTTTTCTGACTGCATCAGATTCTCCAACGAGTTCCTGCAACATTTTCCACGATGGCAATTTTATTTATGGGTGTAGGATTATTTGTATCCATTTTTGCCTCTGCCTGTAGACTGTAAGCTTTGTAAGTACAAAGACATCTGCAGTTGACCGCCTGAGACTGTGGCTGACACAGGGTCACCATCGTCTCTCTTTAACATTGTTTCTCCACTTAGCTGGTTATTCGACCTTGAGAGAGTCATTTAATTCCTTCATATGTAAAGATAAGCCATATATATACATATATATATATGGTATTGCTATAAACTATACATA